AATCGGATTTATAAAATAGTGAATGGAGAAAGTAATTAACCAATATATGAAGTATTCCAATTGATACTAATTATTTATTAGTTTTCTAAGTTGGTCAAAGTATATATTTTTAAGACTGATTAACTACTTAAAAAGGGTATAACAGGAAGAATAAGATATTTTATGCATTGATTTTATGAAATGACGAGTACTCCCCTTTGTTTCTAATTACTTGTCCACTTTTGAATTGACACACTTGTTAAGAAAATAATTATTGACATAGTCAGTTTATTATTTTATCCCTATTAATTATGAAGTGAATTAATAAAAAATTTAAGATTTTCAAAAAGCTATATCTTTTTCAAAATAATTAATTGAGGATATAATAGATAAAAAAATTTATTTCTTTCTTGATTTGTCAAAATAAACAAGTAATTAGAGACAATTATAAAAGAAAAAATGAACAAGTAATTAGGGAGAAAAGGAATATTATGAATCAACTATTTATAGAAAGATATTACATGAAAAAAAAGTACGATAGGAGTAAAAGATATTGTCTTTTCTTAATTTGTCAAAATAACAAATAAGAAGTCAAATTGGACAAGTAAAAAAGGATGAAAGGAGTATTAAGTTTTAGGGATAATTACTTAACTACACACTATTTGTTATCATATTTGCTTATTTTTCTCCACCATTTAAAAAAATATCAAAAATTCTTTTTTTTCCCTCCCATCATCCCCATAAATGAATTTGAATCGCATTCGTATGATTTTCTTTCAGCCACAAATATCTTCATAATTACATTAACTAATCTATTTTTCAATTTCAAATCTTTTATTTTTTCAATTAATGATGATTTCTTTCCATCACTTTAATTTCTTTTATTATTTTTTTCAATTTAAAAATAAATAAATTACCTATGCCCCCTATTCTGATTGAACTTTTGCAATTTTAGTTAATCATATCGTGGTTGAAAATTTTTCTAGAAAGATATTTATTTTCTTTTAATACATCTATTGTTGAAAAAAAAATTTGAATCTACCATTGCACGATCATCACTATCAAAGACACATATTATTAATGTGTCTCATTTATATAATTCTTAAATTAATCTTCGTTAGTGTTATTATTGATTCGATATATCACTGCTATAATAACCTTTTTTTATACAATGTATCATGTTCATATTTAAGATACTGATAGATAACTCTAATGTTGTTGAATCTTATATTATTGTTTATTATGTCCAATATAAATGTATACTTGATACATAAACTTTGTGTTATGGTGTTATGTATCACACATACAAAAAAAATATTTTGAAACAATTACTCGTATAATGTATTTTCTAAAATTTTTAAAATATAGTATTTCTCAAACAAAACAGGGAAAATGGTTTGAAAATATTTCAACTTTGGCCGAAATTGTTGTACAATATCAAATTTTACGGAGGCCCTTTTACTCTGAACTATTTAATAGTATATTTAAAAGTTTATATATATCCACATGAATACATTACTGGTTATAATTATACAATATTTTTTATATCCATATAAACATATATATACCTTTAAAATACACTATTAAATAAAGAGTAAAAACTCCTTTTCAAACTTTGATACCGTAATAACAATTTCGATAAAGTTTATTTTATAAAATGTATAAAATAGTACTAAATAAAGTATATCACGCATTATTTTACCAACTAAAATTGAACAGTGGAGTACAGCAAAAAGACTAAGTAAAGGGACAAAGAGCCCCATTACTTCAGCAAACTACTGTGCAATTCCTAGACTCATAGCATTAGAGGTAACTGCCTCAAAGCTTTACTCCATCTCATGTATTTCAGCTCTGTTAAGAATCCGATTCGATTGATTTAAAAAATTAATTTTCAAGTTAAAAATAATAAGTTAAACTGAATGACTTTTAAGTTAAAAAATAAAAAGTATGGGGAGAACTATTTTATATTTTTGATTTTTAAGTTATTTTTGACTTGTTTTAAATTATCTTTTTTAAATATTTACCTAACACTTTCAAAAGTCAAAAATCGACTTTTAAATCCACCCAAACAAGCTCTAAATATAACTTTTACCGCAAATTTGGTAGCATTTACTGTTGCTGCTTTGATTTATAGGTTGACAAGCTTTGTCCCAAGCCAGTAGAGCTTTCTTTGGAAGTTCAACGCGATTTTAAGGGATAATTGAGTCTTTAACTATGCTAATGCATGTATTAAATTCTTAGCATTATAAATACCTAGAAATTTATTATATAGATAGTACACTCCTCAATATACAATAAAGTGTATAACCAATGCGTAACAAGAAAAAACATACCAAATAAAGTATTAGCAATACACAATCCTATTACAGGCACTATCTTCTATAATACGATCTACCAAACGTCCTAGTGAACTAGAAATTAGAATATTATATCTTGTTTTAGTTTTCTTTGTAAAATTGATAATACTAGTTATTGGTAGGTAGTCCTTTATGTATATAGCTTTAAATTTCCAAAATCTTTCACATTGAAAATTCTGATATAAAATGAAGCTAAGCACGTATGATAAAAATACCCGAACTATTCGAAATAGGTCAAATTTATCTTGTCATTTGTTTAGATTAGAAATGTCTTTGCTATTACACTTTTAGCCAAAGGTGTAACAAGAAGGGCATTTAAACCCAGAAACGCAAGGAGGGATAAACTTGACCCAATTCAGGATATTTTTAGCCCTTTTCCCTCGAATTATTAAAAGAGAGAACCATAGACGAATTGCTAAAATGCACACTACAAATAGTTACATGAACCTGCAGACTTACCGATAAATTATACGAATCTTTGCTCCAATGAAGATGCAAAGTTGAGCATCCTCAAATTACACTACAAATATCCAAAACAGATTCTACCACACTACAGTTTTCAGAGAGTGAATTCTTAACTGAACATTGTTAATCAATTCCGGGACAACGAAAGTAAAGATTAAATTATTGTCTCCACTTAGTTCATCAGCATATGATCAAATCCACCTGCCTGTAGAGCAACACGGGCACCATTAACATTGTTGATCAATTGTTGTAGCCACCTCCTAGTTGTAGGGTCGTCCTGTTGAGCGAGCACAACGGTATATCATATATCATATAACAACCGGAAGATTGAGAGAAAGCTAAGAGATTATCGGAACAGATGAAGAACTTGAATTGAAAATGTACATACACGAAGACAGGTACTGAAGGTGTTGTCTCTAAGCATATCAGGGAGACCATTTCTTAGTGCATCACATGCCCTGACGTAAACAATGCACATCAGCATTAGCTCAAAGGCGTCCACCAGACGAGGCATGAGACCTGATATTTTATACATAACAAAGCTGAAGGGATATTTGAAGTGTAGAAGTCTCACCTTGGATTGTCCGACAAGCGAAGATAGCACCTAATTATGTGCTTCAGTAACCTTGACGAAGGCTGTTCAGCAAGTGCGCCAACCATATTCCCCAATACTCGCCCAACTGCAAAAAATCTTTCTGCTGTGGTACATATGTAATCCAAACCAACATCATCTAGAAGTATTTTTTGCACAATGAAAGTTGCAACCTGTCAGGATGACTCTAAATTAGATGTAGCGAAACTTGATATAAACTCAACGAAGATGTAACTGGAAATAATCAAAACAGAATTAGTCATGAACAGAATATAATGCAGCATCAGTTGTCTTTCATTTGGTACCGGAAGAATATGACGACAATATTATGATTGTATGACCAAAATAAACAAGAAAAGGGATTTGAGGAAGCACTCAACCGTTTTTGACAGTTCACTGCCCATCTCCATTGTGCGCAGGCACAGGGGAATTATTTCAGTTGATAGTAGAAAACTGATAACTTCAGTATCATCAACCTTCAAAGAAATCACACCAATATTATTTTAAAGTCATCCAGAATGGAGAAACAAAAAACAACCAGATTCATATGATGAACGTTGCACTTTTACCACATGAAATTTCACTAGGTCGAGCTACAAAAAGTATGTGCCACGTGTTAAATATATATTGCATATTTGGACGATATCTCTAGGTACCATAAATAGCATCTTCAGATTTCCAAATAAGCACTGATTATGGTTATACTGAAAGAGAAGATATCAGCGAAATACGGTATAAGTATTACCTTCACAAGGGCACCAATGACACCTAAGCTAGTAAGCCTCAGATATTCAAAAGGTCTTGATTTGCTTGTTGTATTCAGAAAAGGGTACAAGTACAACGGAATATGTGCTGCAGTTTGGAACATTTTACCAGATTAGGAGAAAGTAAGAACACACTCAAATCAGAACACTTATCATCACAGTAAAGTTGTTTAGATCTTGAAACATGCATCGTAAAGTAGAAAAATGTTTGATGTATCTCGTGAAATCAAGTGAAAGTAGTAATCACGTGCTTTCACCAATATAGTCCACTGAGTATCACACATCAACTAACTTGATCATCTGATATCACCTTTCACAGATATAATCTTCCAAGTACGTAAGGGTTCAGCACTTCTCGTCTCAAACCTGATGGATAAGAAACTTAATGATTTGCAACATCACATGCCCACATGACTAACCTCGATAAAGCCCTATACGAAAAACAAATCTATTTTCCTCCAACTTGGGATCCCTAAGTTGAGGAGAAATTACAAAACCTGACCAGCATGGGACTGAAAATACAACAAAAACATACCCAGTGCATGGGTCTGGGGAGGGTAGGAAGGACCAGAACTTACCCCCACCTTCGTGGCATAAAGAGGTTGTCTCTGATAGGTCATCTACTAAAAACATATGTAATAAAATAGGACAGGCAAGAAAATAAAGACAGCAAAGAAGTGACAGTAAAATTGAAGAATAGGCAAGAAAGGAAGGTATCTATTGCTTGATCTCCGGGGAAGAAATCAAAAGAATATCAATGATTTTAGCCAGGTGTTATGTCGCCATTTTTCGTGAAAGCAACAACTACATTGGAGTACAACTGCAAATGAAAGTAAAAACCGATTTTCTAGCAATTAAGCACTCTTTATAATAATGTAATAAGACAATTCAATGCAGTCAGAGAAATTTTTCATTGCCTTGATTTATGATTCGTGATTCAACTGAAACTAAGATGTCGACTACAATGCTCAAGAAAATAGATGTACAAGGATATAGCATTTTCTTTCCCTTAAATTAGGGTGCCAATGATTTTTTAAAAATCAACTTAACCGACTTAACCGAACAATACTGAACCGATTATTAGGTCTCTTTTAATAAAACCAAGGTTTTTATCAAATTCATAACCGTACCAAATAATTAGTAGGGTTTAAATTTTATAAAAATAAAGCCAAAAATTACTGAACAGTACTAAATAAGTTTCAACAATAGACCCATGTAAACCCACAAGTGGGGTCCGAGGAGGGTAGAATGTATACCTTACCCCTAGCTCGTAGAGAGGTTGTTCCTATAGACCCTCAGCTCAAGAGAAAAAAAATTCGAAGCAGATTATAAAAAAATAAATAAAAAAAAAAAACTAATAAGAGTGAAGGAATCTTGACAAAATACTATAGAAAGCGTGTCAAATCATTTTAACAAAAAAGAAATGTAACTACAACAATGTAATATGATAATCGAGGTGTGCAAGAAACGACAGGTAATAACATACATCAAAGGACAAAAACTCCTACAATAAAGCTAAACTACTAGTGTGGAAAGATAAGCGAGACAATGCTCTACTACCTACCAATCTTCCATCCTAATTTGTTTCCTCCACAACCTCCTATCTACGGTCATATCCTCGGTAGGTTGAAATTGCGTCCTATCCTATCTAATCACCTCTACCCAATACTTGTTCAGTCTACATCTATCTCTACTAAAACCATCCACATCTAACATCTCAAATCTCCGCACTTAGAGCATCCTTACGGAATAAGTTTGTGAAAAGTATTTTATTTTAAGCACTAAAATAATAAAAAATTAAAATTTGACTTGAATTGTATGACTACAAGTTTTTTGAGAAGGAACAAGAACAAGTAATTAACACCCAAAGTCCCAACTACGAAACCTATTATGCTATTCCTATAAAACTACATTAATTCTAGCACTTCTACTAATAAGCTAAGTTATTCCAACTGTCTTGAGCAACAAGTTACAGGGTATCACAAGTCTTTCTTCTTATATGATCTTAAATTTCTCTAATTGGATACTCAATCTTAGTAGACTTGGTTTTTCAGTACCACATATTGACTGAATTTTTCCTTCTTGTTTGATTTAAATTGTCTTAGTTTAACTTTGTTCTACACCACTGTAAAGAATGTTCCCTTGATTCAATACCTTCTAAAGGTAAAAATGTCTAGAAATTGTTTGCCAAAAGTCTTACAAAAGTATGCATGTTATCGTGTTCTAATTTTTACCTGTAACTACTACATGACATTTCTATAAGTACCAACAATTAACCGAACAGTACTAATATTGAAGAGAAACAGAGATGATGGGATGGTTTTGAAAAGTCTGATTTTGGTTGTACATACCCAGTGTAATCCCAGTAGTGGGCTCTAGGGAGGGTGGGTTAGTGTGTATGTAAATCTTACCCCAAACCTGGAAGGAGGTTATGCAAAATAAAATAACCAAAAAAATTGATATGGTATAAGTTTCCATAGTCTATCAATTCATTGTTACTAGTTCTACATAGTCTAGCTCTGAAACCGTACCATTGATAACCCTACACAAAATAAAGCCTTCCACTTAAAGTAAAGCCAAAGAGGTTCTGCATACAAAAAGACCATGATCACCATTGAGCAAAACCCATAAAAGAAGGAAAAAGATTACCATTGAGAAACAACATTCTCGTGTCAGGGTGAGAGGCTACACACTGCAAAATAAAATGGGAGGAAAGAGAGCCATTAGTTATATTTGACCCACATAAGAATTAAATGAAGAATTATAGTGATTACAATTCCTTAAAAGTACATGTATGAAAATATTTGACTCTTGATATGCCAAGTGTTCCAAGTATTAATAGTCATTGAAAGAAGTTTGCTCTTTTCTCTTAACAAGTGCAAAAGCTACCATAAATAGGATTTGAACAATATGCAACACGCAACTGGATTAATGTGAGTCCCCCAGGATGCTCTTCTCCTTCCTCCCTCTCCTCTTGATACATAAAACCCCCAAACAAATCTAATTTCGACATCCTACTGCTGAACAAATAATCCTAATGGAGAATGGAAAAAGCTTTTTCGGTTAACAGAAATCTATTATTCATCATGATGGAATATTACATGACAGCTGACAGTACTCATTACTTTACAAATTGTTGATGAGACATGAGTAAGGAAAACAGCACAAGGAATCAACTAAAAGAATTCCATTGTAAAAGAAATTTCTATACCTGAAGAAGTGCTAAAGCATTGCAAACTCTGTTCGATTGTGCTGGAGTCAAGTTTGGCGGTGATAAAACAGGGTAGATGGAAACTATCTCCTGCAAGCATGTAATGCATGTAAACTTACAGCACAAAGGAAAACAAATATAGAGAAACAGTTGTCAAGTTCCAAGAAAAACTTTAAGAAGTAGAATTCATACGATTGGGATCCATTTTCTATTATAAGGAGTAAGCTTAGTTTCACATTGAAGTATCTTCTTAGCTGGAGCTTTAGGATGTCGGAAGTGTTGGACACTCAACAAAGATGAGATTGTTTGCACATGAAGGAAGCTCATTTCTTGTCATTTATCTCAGACAATCAAGGAAAAAGCATCAAGATGATCATTTAGTATTTTCACAATACACACATTCCAGTTTTCACCATACCATCTTTTCTGTTCCTCTCCTCTCCCACCAATAAGAAGGTAATCCAGTTCTATATTCAACTGAACTGTCACTCATTATCCAGTTTCCTTCACTAAAATAAGCAAAACGCCATCAGCTGATTACAAATTACAGGAGCGGAAGAACCAGTGAGAGAAATATTCCCCCCCCCCCAAACCCCTCCAAAACTTCACAACCTCTTTTATCATCACAAGATTTCACATGAGCAATCAGTTTTTACCATCCATTATTTTTCACTTTATCCACAAAGCAAAAGATACCATGAAAGTTCTACTCCTGAATTACAGCTTAAATTAATTGATAACAGCTTTCCAGAATGGCATTCTAAATCGCTCCGCCGCTATTTCACCCCTTCATTTGATTCCCTATGATTTTAGCTCATTCTTTTGTTCAGAAAGTGTCAAGCCAGGCTTCGGTCTGTAACAAGGCCATTCAGATGTTTCACCGAGCCCTTCCTTTCAATTTTTACGAAGTGTAAATCACTACCAATAAAACAGTAAGGCACTAGAAATTTTGTACAGACAAATGGAGGAATATGGCAGTGTAATAGTATAGGTTGGTATAATCTGAAGAACTAGAATGAAACACTTCAAAGATTACCTGTAAGAGCGCAGCAACTGTACCAAATGAGTTCCATAGTAATGGCGCTAAATCCTGGAATAATTCCCTCTTCTGGAAAAGGAAAACAAGATTTAACAATTTTCTCTTTGAAGGGCAAAATCAAGAAATAAAGAAAAGAAAAAGAAAACAGAAGACTATCCAGCACAAAACGTCAAACATTACTCACATTGCACAAAAATATATGTAGATGGGTAAAAAGAGATAAAAAATAAATCACTAGAGCAATACTAAATAATTCGCTGATAATATTGTATGAAAGAAGAAATTAGTGATTATTCTACACTATTGTATCAGTTGCAGTCAAAGCAAGCTCTAATGTTGCTCAATTCGCTGACAGAAGAATGCTGTGCAGTTGGGAAATGCTTGAACAGAAATTTTTCCAATTCATATCACCAGTGTTCATGAAGGAAGAATATTATGTGCATGTAAGCACGTCTTCAGTCACTACCTACAAGTATGATGGAAGAATTTATATGGTAATTCCACCAACAAAAGGTTTCAGCAATCCAAAATTTCCCAATTTGCTCATGGAAAGCTGTAATTTTTCCATGTATGACCAGATAAACCTACAAAGGAAGGGTTTTAATTTATGTAATTGGTGCATAGATTTGCTCAGGGAAGCTGTAATTATTCCATGTCTGAACAGATAAACCTACAAAGGAAGGGTTTAATTAATGTAGTTGGTGCTATCTATTCGAAGAAATTCTGAAACTGACTCAATTATTCTTACATTGCAAACATGTTTTGGTTAGGTGCATGTTCCTGAATCTACATGGAATTCACGAGGTAATGCCAGAATTTAAACGAAGCATTGTCCAGCTGGCAGGACCAGAAGATAAGGAAGAAACAGAATCTGATAATGAAGACCACTCCTTTATGCATTCTGTTGGACTGTTTGGTCAGACAGAAACAGTAGAAGCTTTGAGGGAAAGAAGGAAATGCTGCTTTTTGTGATGAATATATGTATCCAATATCTAAAACTATGGTCTAAACCTTCTATTAATGATGTTCTATCATGCTGAATTTCCTGGAATCTTTACTGTTATGAAGGGATAAAATCCAGAAAACTTTTGTAAAACTCAGTAAATCTTGATACTGAAGTTTTACCAACAAAAAAAAATTATTCTTATTTGTCGAAAAAAATTCCGATTGCGTTCCTTTCTCACCGAATCAAAACTCCTCAACAGACAGAAAATATAGGAAAGCTAACATGGCAATTCCATAACTTGTAATCATGCATATTTGTTACTCCTTAATATATATACATATAAACATAAAACAGGTAGCATACCCAAAAATTTATATATGTTTCTATCACAAAAGCAACAGATAAATCCCCAAAGATGATAAATCTAACTAATGTGATCTAGAGCTTTGAACAACTAAAACAGGTAGCTTTAGACTTAACGTGATACAAAAAGTAGCAAAGACACAAAGTAGTCAACTATAAACAGCAATATATTAAGTAGCATACTTTAGCTAGTTAGACCCCGTAGTCGAGCTTATCCTCGATTAACCAATTGGAGATCGTGAGTCTAATTTAGAGAGAATGGCTACCATCAAAGGAGCTACAAGTGTTAGCACCAGCTCAAATAGTGGTGCACATTCTTATCCAACTTTTAAGGGCTCCTCTCACAATAAAAAGATACTAGTTCTAGAAACAAGGTATGAAAACTCACACACCAAAACATAAATTACTTTCATTAGCATCATTCCCCTTCCCAGTGCTGGAATCCTAAAACGAAATATTCCTCATATTTTCCAAATTTACACTCTCGGACTAACAACCATCCTTAATAGTTTTCACAAATTTACTTTATCTGTGCACTCAAATTCTTAACTTTTTATCCCATATGCCCCTTCTAGGCAAAACTTCTTGAGTGTGTTGCCGACTGGACAAGCCAAGTAATTTAAACAACCAAAACAGGTAGCTTTAGAATCCATGTGATACAAAAAGTAGCAAAGACACAAATTAGTCAACCATAAACAGCAATACATTAAGTAGGATACTTCATCTAGTTAGCCCCTTATTCAAGATAATCTTCAATCAACCAAGAAGATTTAGGATCCCAATTTCGAGACAATGGCTACCTTCAAAGGAGCTACAAGGGTTAGCTCAGGCTCGAATAGCACATTCTTAACCAACTTTTAAGGGTTTCTCTCACGGTAGAAGAGATTTAGAGTTTTAGAAACAAGATATAAAAGCTCACGCACCAGACCTAAATTGCTTTCATTAGCATTATTCCCCTTCCCAGTGCTAGAATCCTAAAATAAAAAGAAATCCCTCATATTTCTGAAATTAAATTGTCTCGCTAACAACCATTCTAAATAGTTTTCAGAAGCTTACTACATCTAATTCACTCAATTCTTAATTTTTGACACCGCTTTCTCCCTTTAGGCAAAACTTATTGATCTTGTCACCAATGGGACAAGCCAGGTAATTTGAACAACCCAAAAAGGTAGATTTAGACTCTACGTGATAAAAAAAATTAGCGAAGATAGAAAGTACTCAACCATAAACAGCAATACATTAATTAAGTAGGATAGTTAGCTAGTTAGCCCCTTATTCAAGCTCATGATTCAATCAACCAATAGGAGATTAGGGAGCCCCATTTCGAGAGAATGGCTACAGTCATAGGAGCTACTTGTGTTAGCACATGCTCGAATAACTATGCACATTCTTTACCAACTTTTTTAAGGGTTTTTCTCTCGGTAGAAAAGATTAGAGTTCTAGAAACAAGATATAAAAGCTCACACACCAAAACCTAAATTGCTTTCATTAGAGCATTATTCCCATGATCAGTGCTCGAACTCTAAATTAGGAAAATCCTTCCTATTTCCAAAATTAAACTGTCTGACTAACTGCCATCCAAAACAGTTTTCAGAAACCTACTATATCCATTCACTCAAATCACAATTTTGACCTCTTGTCTTCTTTGAACAAAACTTGTTGATCACATTTCCAACTACACAAGCTAGGCGAAAACGAAAAATTCAATACGATACCCCTAACACTTCTATTGTAAAAATCACTGGATTAAAAAATTGATCATCGTTTTTAACTTTTAACCCATACTCGCCCTTTCCGCAAAACTTCATAAAAAAAAACTTAACACCACCCCCACTTCCGTGACAATTTTTGTATATCACACATATCATATTGATTACTCTACCAGAAAACCTTGCTACAGCAAACAAAAAAATCATAATTTACATTTCTCCGAAATTCATGAAAAAGAAAAATCCAGAAGAAGATTAGGTCAAATTTATATACCTTAGAGAGTTCAAGAAGAGCATTTTCTCTAAGATCGGGATTGCTTAGTTCAAGCACAAGCTGCTCTGCTGACTGCATTTTTTTCCGGCGACTCCTCCCAA